CAAGCCTATCCTTATCTACGCACCGAAGTCTAATACGCTAACCACTACGCTATTCGCGTATTATTTATTAATAATAAAAAATATTAATAATTATTAATAAAATTAATTAATAATATTAATAATTAATAAAATAAATTAATAATATTAATTAATAAAATTAATTAATAAATATTTACAATCATTTTAATTTGTTATTAATTAAAAATTTAATTAATTTATTATTAGGTATAAATTAATAATTTTAATTAATAAAATTAATTAATAATATTAATAAATTAATAAAATAAATTAATTAATAAATATTTACAATCATTTATAATAAATATAAAAATAATAAAATTAGTTAAAAATTAATTTTTTTAAATTTCATTTTAGTTTAATTATAATTTTCTATTAATAAAAAATTTAATGAATTTATTATTATTAATTAATATTATTAATTAATAATATTAATAATTTTTAATATTAAATAATAAAATTAATTAATGAATATTTATAATAATTTGTAATAAATTAATAAAAATAATTAAGAATTTAATTACAGCAATCAATTTATTTATTAATTGTTAACGTTGCAAATTAAATTACTAAAAAGTTATAATAATTAAAAAATCATCTAAAATGTTTTATTACATAGAAAATATTAAAAGTATATACCAATGCTTATAATCTCTAGTTACGGCACTGAACTGAAACATATGTGCAGTGGTTATTAATTCTCATTTCTCAGTATCCATTGCATTGAACGGCCGAGTACGTTAAGCGGTGCGACTTTAGTCCAGCGGGACCCGGGTTCGCTCCCCGTTACCCATCAAGATTTTTTCGGTGAAATTGCGTTATCGTTTTAAGGTTTATATAGATTATAATAGATTATAATTGTTTATACAAATAAAAAATATTTGTTTAAGTGTTATTGTTAATAATAGTGCATTAAAAAATGGTAGTTGTTTATAAACAGTAAATATTTAGGATATTCGAATTTAGAATTTTTTTAATTGAATTAAAAATCAAAAAGTAATGCAGAAAATTACATGTACAATAATTTACTATTTATATTATTTTTATATAATAATTCAACTAATTAATTAAAAATTATTCAATATTATATAATTTTTTATTCTATTCCATTTATTATGTATATATTATAATGGATACAGAAATTTTTCAAAAATATTTTCTACTGAATTTATTTGGTGCTAAATAGATATTTTATATTAATTGCATGAAATAAATATTTTGACTACAGTAAATCCTAGTATTAAATAAATTTTCAGTATTTTAAAAGAATTAATTTGTCTAGTTTTTCTACAAAACCGTTGACCAGAATTTATAAAGTTGGGCTAGATAATAACTTGATGAAAAAAGCGTAACACTCCATTCCAGTTATTAGCCAGTTGGCTTGTAAAGTAACTAGACAATTTCAAGCGCGACTGGACAGTTCCTTTAAAATAACTAGGACAAATTTCTACTAGGGAATCGGTATTTTATGGACTTTCCTGACAGGTCAATAAAGTATTATTACCCTAGGGCAATAATAATTGTCAATTTGTTGACCAGCTGAGCTATATATGGAGGAACTTAGTATGCACTGGCATACATAGAGTAGAGTGACCATAATAATTCAATATTTTAGTTGTTATTATTATTATTATTATTATTATTATTTTTTTTTTTTTGCCTAGGGAATTTTAGGAAATCTGCCTACAGATACCTTGGACTCCGCACTCCAAGGTTATGTGGGGTTGGTGTGATAAAACAAAAGGAAATAAAAAAAAAAAATATATAAAATAGTAAATTTAATAAACTGGCGACCTACTGCCAGCCCGACCCATTAAAACCCGTAACCCTTCTTCTGGAGCCCTTTACCCTCCCTCGTCCGTAGTTAAAAAAAATGATTAAGATCTAGAGGTTTTTCACCTTTCCTCAGGAGAACTAACCTCTGTCGCTTCCAGTCGCAGAAGAACTCTCCTCTCTCAAGGCAAAGATTGAAGCATCGAAGCAAAATCTGGGGTGAAGTGTCGATTACCAACTTTAGGATCTCGTTACTTATCCCATCGATTCCAGGCGCCTTGCCTGTTTTTAATCTTTTCCCTGCTTTTTGTAGTTCACTAAGTGTGAAGAATTCTTCCTCTTCGACTTTGCAAAAACTCCAGTCCCTTCTAAGGTATGGCTTTGCAGGAGGAAACAAAGAATTTATTATCTTTCTGACCCAATCGGGATTGTCCAGGCCGGGGGTCTTTTGCCTCGTCACTAATTTTTTAGTAAAGATTTTAAAAGCCAGACCCCATGGGTCCATATCGACTTCCTCGATTAGGTCCTTCCAGCTACGGCGTCGCGACTTGCGGATCTCTTTCTTGAGGTTCTTTTTCGCCTCTTTGAAAGCCTCTTTTAGCAAGGGATCTCCATTAGATCGGGTATATGTCCTTCTTGGTTTGAGGCATTCCTTCCTTAAAGAGGCTAGCTCCTCTAACCACCAGTGCAAGGATTTTCTTACGGGAATGGCGCCTTTGCGTGGCATTGACGCATTGCAAGCGGTGACTATCATGTTCGTCACCGCTCTCACCTCCCTATCCAGACTGCTCGGCCTCTTCACCCAGCCCAAGTCCTCAATTAAAAGGGCTTCTCTTAGGGACCGGCCGAACTTCTCCTTGTCGAGTCTCTTCATATTCCACGAGGAGGTTTTGCGACTAGGAGCATCCGGTCTTTTTCCTTCTCGTGTGTCTCCCATCGAGACTGAGAACTCAATGTACTGGTGGTCACTTGCGGTATATTCCGCAGGGACCCGCCAATCGGTTATGCGGCTAAATAGTTTAGACGATGCGATTGTTAGATCTATAATTGATCCGATCGCACCTCGTCTAAAAGTCCATGTATTACCTCGGTTTACAGCTAATAAGTCGTTTCTGGAGATCATTTCTCCAATACGAATTCCTCTCTTGTCGAGTCTCGTCTCACCCCACTCTGGCGACTTTGCGTTAAAATCGTCAGTGATGATGACATCCAGCCTGGATTCTGTGAGGCTCGCTTCTAGGTCTTCGATATTGGCTTCGAAGTTTGTCAGTGGGTCGTTGGGTGAGAAGTAGCAGCTATACATACGTATATTAGCCACCTCTATCCACACGAACCCACTGCTCGTCTCCAGAAACTTGTCAACCCGCAATTTTGGGTTGCACAGCTTTATGGCGGCTCTCTTCGCCTTATCCTGATACCAAGGGGCGAGGTAGCTTCCTTGATACTGCTCACTGCAGAACAGGATTTCGACCTCATTTTCCCTTGCTGTTTGCATTAGGAGCAACTGTGCATCCTTACTTGTATGCAGGTTGACCTGCAAAAATTTTAAGGATTTGCCCTTTTAATCTTTTGAAGTTCTTCCCTGTAAACCGGGCAGGCTCTCTTTCCGGACTCATAATCTGTTTCCGGCTTCCCCAGGTCCAAGCAAGTAAGGCACTTCGGCTTAACGTTACAGCTCTTCGCGAGGTGTCCCTCTCCGCCGCATCTCCGACAGTTTTTACTTCTGTCGGGGCCTTTGCAGGATAGGGTTCTGTGTACGTAACCTAGGCACTTTTGGCACCTAGCTACTTCAACATGCTCGCGAATTGGAGCATTTATCCAGCCGATTTTGATTCGGCCAAGTTTAAGCAGAATGTCACTTTCTGTTTCTGCCAAGCGGATGAGAGCAACCTTAGTTCCTCTGTAGCGCGGCAAAAGGTGGCACTCCATCGTCAGGTCGAGTTTACCCAGCTTTTCTCTCAGTGCTGAAGTCACCTCATCCTCTGTGGTGGCTTCATCCAAATCCTTAATCTCTAGAGACCTTCTATTCACTAGAGGTGTGACCTCAGCCTTGCCATGCAGGGCCGAAGTCAGTGCCACTGCAAATTTTAAGGTCTCTCCACCCTTTTTCACTATCAAGAGAACCTCCTGTTTAAAAGTTCTCCTGATTTTCCGGATAACGGTCCCCGTATCTTGTGGGTTTACCTTTGCTTTTATCAGCGGCAAGATACCCTCATACAGACTTGGGTCTCTTGCCGTGATTTTAACGGCTTCCGTGCTCCTTAGCTTCAAAGGGGGCTTCGGAAACTCTTTTTTCTCACGTGAGAGCTTCTCTTTTGGAGCCCGTTTCTTTTTGTTTTTAACAATTTTGAAGCCGTCCCCATTGTCCGCTCCGTCCTTAAAGACGGTCTCAGCATACGACTTGCCAGAACTATTTGAGGGCGCCTGTTTCGTTCCAACTAGCGACTCAGAACCAAGCCGTGGAGCATCCTTTCGCTTAATTCTCTTCCCGCCTTGAGTCGTTCGTTGCGGACTCGCATCTGGGCTTGCACCTTCCCTGGGGCGTTTATTAACGCCTTTTGCCTTATTAGGGCATGTCTTTGCGCCGTCCAGAGCTGCAATAGTGCTCTCTGTCTGCTGTGGAACTTCCACAGTTGGATGTTGCGGCTCTTGGTCTTTAAAAGGCTCGGGGATAAAACGTAAATTCTTACAGATTATATAGAACGCACTTTCTAAAACCGTCACGCCATCCTGGATGTCACGACTGACGTTTTTTTGCCGCTTGAATCCTTGGCGCAAGCTTTTAAAAATTCCCGGAATAGCCAGGAACTGATTTACAACATTTGATTCGTAGCATGTCATCTGGCTATCTATTTGGCTCCCTCCAAAATCCTTAGAGCCATCTGCACCGACTATCGGGGATTGCACCCGATCAGAATCGGTGGTGGGATTACCCTCTTTCGAGGTACCCACTTGGAGTATTTCATTAAAAATTTTGTCCATTCCATTAAATTTTTTTTTATTTCTTTGTCCCGTGTCGAGGAACAATCGGGCCTTAACAGGGTACTACCATCTGGCCAGGATGGATCCTAAACCGCCTCCGTTAGTTACATAGACGTTATAGCATTGCCGGAGATTTTAGATTTGATTCTTTTAAAATGAAATGTTTATAATAATTTGATTAACTACTATCGTCATAAAAAAAATGTAATTTCTTATTTTGATGACAGAAACAAAGCATGATGGTTCGGCAACTGGAGGAGGAGCTGAGGCTGCGGATGCGAGGCCCGAGCATTGAATTGCAGCAGCAGATGGAAGTTTTATACAACGAAAACGAGCATCTGACTCGCGAAATAGCCATACTTCGCGACACGATAAAGGTAATTTTTATTGATTTCCCACTTTGCCTTTCATTTTCTTTTTTATTAAAGAAATAATTTTTTTAAACATGTACTAAACTTAAATAGTATATTAGGCAACAAGAGGATAAAGGCAGCTCTTATCGTAAAGAAATGGCTGCCTTTATTCTCGTGTTACTTACGATATTTTTTATTTCTAATGCACAAAAGTGTCGATTTTAGATAGCAGACGGCAGGGAGTAAAAGTCATTCACTTGTTCGACTTGTATGAAAATGGCGGCCGTTTTCTCCCATGGGCAAGAAAAACGCATGGGAACAGCTAATTTTCTTGCCCATGGGAGAACACGGCCGCCATTTTCACACGGTCGAAGAAATGAATGACTTTCCTCCCTGTCGTCTGCTATCAGAAAGCGCCATTTTTGTGCATGTGGGATAAAAATTATTTTTTCTCTTTCGACATTATTCTTATTTTGCTTCTTAATTTATATATTTCCATACATTAACAAAATGACTATATATTTTTTTTTCTTTCTAAACTTTTTCATATTAAAAAAAGTGTACCTTTCTCTTTTTAATAGAAAATTAATTTTATTTTTAGAAATAAAGAATATGAACACCCAATAGCATAGCATGAAATATTCCATTTATATTCCTGGGATGTTCCACGATTTAGAAATAAATTTCAGTGGAATATTCCTGCATTATTCCAAAGGTTGGACATTTCAATATTTCCGATGCTTTAATGGAATATTCAAGGAATGTCAATGGAATATTCAGTGCTATGCTATTGGGTCAAAAAATATTTTTTATATTTAATTTAATAATTAAATTATAAGCATAATATTGATACATAATTTTTGTATTTAAAATTTTTTAATTCTATAAGCTAAAGTAAAAAATAAATTCTAATCACGAAATGCATTAAAAGAAGGGGAAAAATACAATTTGTACAGGAAGAATTATTAAAAAAAAAGATTAAAAGCAATGTAGGTCAGATTGTGAAAGGAGAACATTTGTCCAAGTTTTTCCAACTGTCCCGATCAGTTATGAAAAAATTCAATATATTTTCTCGTTATATTTAATAAAGAACTTACACGTTTTTCTCTTTTGTATGAAAATCAAAGAAAATATAAAGTCAAATGCAAACAATATTATTATATTTTGAAATCAAAGAAAAATATTTCTTAACCGGGCAATGGTTTGACGAATATTTGTGTTTTTTTGAGCTTTTATTTCCGAGTCTACTGGAGGTAAATGACCGAAAAATTCCTTGCCAATAAAACTGTAGACTGAGATCTTGGCACGTACCACAGTGGGGCAAAATGACAAAATTTGGTTCAAATTGACTTTTAGACCACAATTTAAAACCAAATTAAAAAAAAAAAAATTTTTTCTCTAACGCAGAACTAAATTCTGAAGAAATCTGTGAGAGTCAATTTTTTATAACAATGATAACATTAATTGAAAAATGACTTTATTACAAAGAAAATCTCTAGGCGGTTTAAATGAAACATTATTCGTAAAAAATTCGATTCATTTCTGCCCAAAAATGTCCTTACAGTACAATTGTTTATAAAAATTGTATAAACAATTAAGAAAAATTATTTCAAAATATCAGATTAACAAAAAGCAAGTTTAATTACAATAATCTAAAGCAAATATCTTTTTAAGAAAATTTATTTTTAAACATAACTTCCTATAAAGTGTAATTGTTTATTAAAATTGTTTATAACAATTTTTAAAGGCAAAAACTTTTTTTTTACTGCTTACACACCGCCAGACATTAAATGTATACAATTTGAAGTATGCAAGAATTTTTTTGAGCAAAAGAAATCAAAAAATGTAAAAAAAAATTTTTTTACACTTTGCATAAACATTTAAACACGACATATTTCACGAAGCAGACCACAAAAGATCACGATATGCCTCTTTTTCAAAAAAACGAAAAGAAAAAATGAAAAAATGCTTTTCACTGTCAAAATCACTGTCTGGTGAATCCTTATATGAAATTAGTAGATATGCAAATTAGGTAAAGAGAGACATACTGATGGTATTTACTTTCGAAAGAGGAAGAAAGCAATAGCGTTAGATTTTCTGCGTTATAAATAGAGACCGATAATGTTATTTAGTATCTAGAAAGAAGGAGACAGTAAGATATTTGAAAGATATATATATATATATATATATATATATATATATATATATATATATATATATATATATATATGGGATATTCCACGTCAACACGGACAGAGCTCTAAACAAAAATTGCTTTGATGGATTTAAACGTTCTAGGGCTTAAAAGATTTCTACGTTCATGTACTTTAAGATGCCGATGGGCGTTTTTTGCAAAATTCTATTTCCGATGCCAATAGAACTGTCAAAAGTCAAAAGGTCCAAAAATCTCAAAATACTTTTATGAATTAAAAGCAAAAAACGAGGTAAATTATTCTGTAACTCATTCTTTATCAGTTTTTAGGGTTCCCGAATATCAATCTAAAGTTTTTTTTAAAAAATCCAAAATGGCGAATTCAATATGGCGGACAAAATTCAAAATGGCGGATCCAATATGGCGGAAAAAATTTTCAAATTTGATCCGATTTCCTTAAAACGTGTTACTCGGGGGCTTTTGGGGTCGCAGATTATGAATATGAAGTTACTTTGTGTTTGACACTTCAAATTCATAATCAGATACGCTAAAAACCACCGAGTAACACTTTTTAATTAAATCTGATCAAATTAAAAAATTTGATCCGCCATTTTGAATTTCTACAAAGTAACTTCATATTCATAATCTGCGACCCCAAAAGCCCCCGAGTAACACGTTTTAAGGGAATCGGATCAAATTTGAAAATTTTTTCCGCCATATTGGATCCGCCATTTTGAATTTTTAAAAAGTGACTTCAGATTCGTAATCAGCGACCCTAAAAACCCCCGAGTAACAAGTTTTAATCGAATCTGATCAAATTTGAATTTTGTCCGCCATATTGAATTCGCCATTTTTAATTTTTTAAAAAAAACTTTAGATTGACATTCGGGAACCCTAAAAACTGATAAAGAATGAGTTACAGAATAATTTACCTCGTTTTTTGCTTTTAATTCATAAAAGTATTTTGAGATTTTTGGACCTTTTGACTTTTTACAGTTCTATTGGCATCGGAAATGGAATTTTGCAAAAAACGCCCATCGGCATCTTAAAGTACATGAACGTAGAAATCTTTTAAGCCCTAGAATGTTTAAATCCATCAAAGCAATTTTTGTTTAGAGCTCTGTCCGTGTTGACGTGGAATGTCCCATATATATATATATATATATATATATATATGTGTGACGCGACACGAGAAAAGGGACCCATCGTTAAAAAAATCGATTTTGAGATTATGGTGCTATTCGACAGATTATTCTTTGCTCTTTCACGTGAAAAAATCAAAAGTTGAAAAACTTAAATAGTGTTAATAATATAAAGCCCGAAAGTTAAGCATGTAAGCGTAAATACACGGGTTTTCTGCGCATGGCGTCGCTTTAAACGCTCTCCCTGTAAAATTCTCCTTTGCGGCGATAGGTCCCTTGTCTCGTGTCGCGTCACATATCTATATTAGGGGGACTTCGCCCTTCTGCGCGCCAACCCCCTATCTCTATTTTTATATTTATTTTAATTTTTATAAATTTAAAGTAATTTTTTCTTAATATCAATGCATCTTAATAAATTGCATACAATACATGACAAAATACACATAGATTTTGACGTAATATAACAATTGTTATGGACCTTTTTTATCTATATGTCAAAAATTAGATTAAACTTTGACATATATTTTGACCCATTTTAACCTATAGGTTAAAAAGGCGACAAAGAACGATGCTGAAAAATGGTGAAAATTTGCCCCCGAAGGGGATTGTAAAAGAAGTATATGTTTTTATAGATTTTGACCTGCTGAATCCGAAAATCACCCTTAGAAAGTTCTAAACCTTAGGGAAAGGGTTGAAAAACCACCCTTAACTCAGAGACACCGTTTTCAATAAACAACAGTAAAATATGATAAAATTATGTAAATAAGAAACGTTTACACTATAATTTAATAAATTAAGGTAACAGTAATAACAACCGCATAATTTAAATCACGATTACGAACCTTGCAGTTTAAAAAACTACTCTCTCATACATCAACACTTATGCCAAAACCCCAAAAAGTTATATAACGTAAATATATTGATACATAACAAAGCAATAATTAATCCTTTAAAAATAAACAACGTTTACCACTACTGTAGAAATATCGGCCACCCCTAAATATGTTAAAAAACCACTCCTAAACAACCAAAACCAAAAAAAAACTTTAAATGTCATAGACTAAGATTCTAATGTTTTGTTAAAGAGTTATCCCTACCAATAACAAATAAGCAACTATTGTTACATCTACCATTAACTCAACAACCCTTAATCATGATCAGAAACTACCCCTATATGATACTTAAAAAATTACCTCCGAAGTTACAAATTAAAAACCGAATTATTTTACTATTTATGACACTTTAAACAATCAAATCAATTATTATAAGGGTTATCATGTCCAACCACTGAAGGTAAGATACATTGTTGTCCAATCAATGAAGATCAGAGTTATCAGGTCCAACCACTGAAGGTAAGAAACATTGTTGACCACTCAATGAAGATCAGTGTTTTCAGGTCCAACCACTGAAGGTAAGAAACATTGTGGACCACTCAATGAAGATCAATGTTATCAGGTCCAACCACTGGAGATGAGAAACATTGTTCAATCAATGAAGATCAGGGTTATCAGATCAAACCACTAAAGGTAAGATACATTGTTGTCCAATCAATGAAGATCAGGGTTATGGGATCCAACCACTGAAAGTAAGAAACATTGTTGACCAATCAATAAAGATCAGGGTTATCAGGTCCAACCACTGAAGGTGAGAAACATTGTTCTCCAATCAATGAAGATCAGGGTTATCAGGTCCAACCACTGAAGGTAAGAAACATTGTTGTCTAATCAATG